CACATTTAAAAAGCAAGCAGCTATTAGTTATAACGATCGGCAAAATATGAAATGAAATGTTTCAAAAGCGTTCGATTCATGAAAAATGAATTTGATGCGGATATATTTGGCTAAATGTTTTGTTTTTTCGAACACATGCCCGATTGAAGACAAGGTAAACATGCCCCGCTACCAAAGCCGTTCTACATCAGCATTGAGGTGAAATAATAGCGGAATTGACACTTCTATCCTATTAACGTATTTGTTCTTTATCCGTTTCGGACGATATCTTTCAGTTAATGCTTTTACAAGGGAAAAACGAAAAAGCGCGCAGAAACTAGCATTACTTTTTATGACGCAGATTTGTGTATTATCCGTAAACGTTAAATGATCAACGACTTACTCATCTCAAACTATAAAATCAAAAGCTCTATCAAAGAAGTATTAACTAAATGTGAGCGCTTCTGTATTTTTTCTTTTGGTTCTTATCTTTTTATTCTATTGCATTTAAATTTTTAGAACTTTTGCCTTGCTGTGCCCAACCGGCTCAGTTTTAAAGGTTTAATAAATAAAACTGTACTGTTTGCATCATTTTTCTTCTCCTAGTATAAGCACGAAAATGAGCGGCTCAAAGAAGAGATTGCCATCCTCGAAGTACAATGTAATGGTAAGTTTCAAAATGATGTATGATGATTTTAATTTTTCGGCGTTAAATATCCGCACACAACTGGAATTCGAACGTTAATTTTAACAAGTTTCGCGGCAAATCTTTTCCGTTACGACGACTAACTTATGAGAGATTGCTAGAACATTGAAATTCATATTTTATCCAACGATTCTTGATTTCTAACCACTTTGAATATTTCCAAACTAAAAGAAAGGGACTTGGCTTTGCCGCTAAACTGTAGCATGTAGAGCTGAAAATGCAAAACTGTCACAATCAGCGGTTTTTCGTAACCTGTGAACAATCTTCCGCGACGTTTTTTTATTTTACGTTTTAGGCGAGCGCAATTTTTATCTNTCCATGAAAAATGAATTTGATGCGGATGTATTTACCTAAATGTTTTGTTTTTTCGAAGACATGCCGGATTAAGGACAAGGTAAACATGCCTCGCTACCAAAGCCGTTCTACATCAGCGTTGAGGTGAAATAATAGGGGAATTGATACACCTATCCCATTAACGTATTTGTTCTTTATCCGTTTCGGACGATATCTTTCAGTTAACGCTTTTACAAGGGAAAAACGAAAAAGCGCGCGGAAACTAGCATTACTTTTTATGACGCAGATTTGTGTATTATCCGTGAACGTTACATGATCAATGACTTCCTCGTCTCAAACTATAAGATTAAAAGCTATATCAAAGAAGTATTAACTAAATACGAGCGCTTCTGTATCTTTTCTTTTGGTTCTTATTTTTTTATTTCATTACATTGGTATTTTTAGAACTTTTGCCATGCTGCCCCTAACCGGCCCAGTTTTAACGGTTTAATGAATAAAACTGTTTACATCATTTTTCTTCTCCTAGTATAAGCAAGAAAATGAGCGGCTCAAAGAAGAGATTGTCATCCTCGAAGCACAATGTAATGGTAAGTTTCAAAATGATGTATGATGATTTTAATTTTTCGGCGTTAAATATCCGCATACAATTGGAATTCGAACGTCAATTTTACACAAGTTTCGCGGCAAATCTTTTCCGTTACGACAACTTATCTGATTAGAGATTGCTAGAACATTGAAAATCATATTTTATCCAACGATTCTTGATTTCTAACCACTTTGAATATTTCCAAAATAAAAGAAGGGGACTTGGCTTTGCCGCTAAACTGTAGCATGCAGAGTTGAAAATGCAAAACTGTCACAATCAGCGGTTTTTCGTAACCTGTGAACAATCCTCCGCGACGTTTTTTTATTTTACGTTTTAGGCGAGCGCAATTTTTATCTTTGTATTTCATCTTTTACAGCTAAAGACGAGAAAATCGCTCATTTTAAAGAAATTCTTTCGGCAAAGGACAAGGAAATTGCTGATCTTAAAGAAAGATTGTCAGAGTTACAGCAGAATAGACAAGAAAATGAGGTTGATTTTGCAAAGCAATTGAAGACAACAGAT